AAAATAGTAAGTTTCATATATTTTACGTTAAGTTTTTACTACAAAAATAATGTATACAAAAATAAAGTATATATAATCTCTTCTATCGTGTTTTGCTCTAAAGAGTGAAAACCAAAACATATAGGCTAAACATTACGTATCTTATGAGAGTTCGTTTTATAAAGACTCATTTTGAAAGTGAGTTGTACTGTAATAAATGTATGTATATATGTAAATGTAAAAATAAATACATAAATATGACAATTTCACCCATATCACAAAATATCCACATAATATTTATGTGTATATTTTCATATCAGGGACAAAATCCATAAATATTCTCTAAAACGACATTACGTACGTATACAAATCGGCTATATTTATATTATTGTACAGTTAAATACATATCCATACACATTATATATACGTTGTACATATGAATAGACATAGTATATATTTATATATTTATAAAAAGTAAAGAAAAATACACAACTTATCCCTAGAGACTAGTAAAAAACACCTACAATTTTAAGATAAATCTATCATTTCATAACACAAAACACTTTTTTTTTTTGTGTTGTTGTTCATTTTTACGGAAAAGAGCAAAATCAAAATGGGAAGTAAAGAAAATACAAGAAAAAAAAATACAGTATAAATACAGGATATTGATATTATAAGGATACACCATTATGATAGGCCATAATCTCTGATCAATTCCAATTTAGGGAGCAGATTTTCGTTTCCAATTTCTCCCACCATGAAAAACAAAAAAAAAAATGTAATTCTTTCCTTTTTTTTTTGTCTTTCCTTTATTTTTATTTTTTCCTTTATTTCGTATTTTTTGTTTTCACATTAAAATTTTTTCAAATTACCATCAACTAACATACCGAAAGCCGTCGGATAAGATTTATCTGCTTAAACCGAATAAAACGACAAGACTAAATAAAGAAATTTCAGTTAAAAATTATAAGGGTTTTTTTTTATAAAAGAGCACATTTCATTTTGATACTGTTTCCAAATTCAATTTATGTAAGGTTCGAATACTTGAATTCACCTTAGAAAGTTGAATTGATTATTTGATTATAGCTCCAAAAGAAGCAATTCTTTTCAATTAATATAAAATATAAAAAATTTTCAAATGCCAAAATGTCATTTTCTCATTTTTAATTGTCAAAACTCTAACATTTTTTATATATCTTTCAGCAAAATGTTAAAATTATGGCATTCTTACCATATCTATAGGAGAAATACCTTGAACTCTTTTAATTTATCAGATTCTATAAAATCTTTACTCTTAAATGCCGAACATTTTTCAGATTTTGGTGGAAACAGTACTTTATAGAGTCAAAAATAACTTAAAAATTTGTCAAAAAACAGACAGACAGATAGACAAAAAATGATAAACGACTTTCAATTTTTTCGTGTAGAGTGGAACTAATCAAACCAAAAAATTTTATTGAAATGGTACTAAAAAATTATTACATACAAGACAAAATGAGATATGCGGATATAGGCATAAAATAAAACTCATCATTAAATAAAGCTGTTAAATCCGCGTTAACGATTTGACAATAATTTAAAAAGAAAAAACCTCGCAAAAACCCTTAATTTTTGAAATTTCAACAAAATTTTTGAAGTCGCATACAAAAATTTTTAATTTTTTGCCTGAAATTTGTTGTATCGCAATTAAAAAAAGAGGCAATTAAATTATTTCTACACTAATATTAAGACTTTAAATCGATTAACCGAAAACGAATTTTAAATACTCTGTTTACACGGTGCGACTTCAATATAAATACATTAATAATTTTTGACAAAATAGTGTCAAAATGACATTTCTAAAGAAGTAAATAATAGAAACCGCAAATCAAACCAGTGAAAAAGACAATAATATTTTTTCTGACAAAGTTTTTAGTTTTTTCAAATAAATAAGATATTAAAAATGTTCTAAAAAACTGTCAAAGAATTCAAAAATTTCAAAAGAAAATAAAGGGCTAACTAACACACACAAAAAAAGAAAAAATGAAGAAAATAATAAGAAAAAATATGGTCCCAAAAAACTGACCGCACTTATTGCGAAAGAAATCATTAAATTGGATTTTCTGCCCGAACTTTAAAATATTGTTTTGGACAAAAGAATTTTGTTATTGTAAAAACAAAAAAGAGAGAGATAGAGATAAGAGAGAGAGAAAAAAAAGGATTTCATTTTAATTTTTTTTTCCGGTTCGTGATTGTCTTATTCTTTTAACAGATTTAAATTTCACATGCGAAAGGAAATTTTTTCTCATCCGTCCTCGTTTCCCAAAAAAAAAAAATAATAAGAGCAAAAAATGTTCATTCATTTTTCTTCTTCCTTGAAAAATAAGTTTCTTTTTTTTTCCTAGGAATTTTTGCATTATTGAAACCAAAAGAAAAAAAATGAGCAGCATTTCTATTTAAGGATTTTTTTTTGTACCACTTCTTCCTTAAAATGATTTGGAATTTTTTATTTCATGTTTATTTTTTTATTTTTTTGTGCTACACAAAAAATCGGATTTAGTTATTTTTATTCCTTTTGTAATCTGTGATCATCTTTCTCATTAACTAAATTGAAAAAGTACCACCAAATTTATTTTTTTTTTTATTTTTGGAACATTGTGTTTTGTAATGCTTAGATTTCATTTTTACACCAAAAAAAAAAATATTATTTTACATGCAAAGTTTTTTCTCTCGGTTTTTTTGATATTTCTTTTTAAAATATCAGGGACCTATGAGACTTTTATAAATTTTCTCGGCTATACGAATTGAAAACTTCATTAAATTATGAAATTTCTAATTACGAGTCTCTATTAAATTACGAACTTCTGTTAAAACATTACCGAGTAAACTGTTTTTGTGTAATTGATAAACTTTACGAAAATTCCACCGAAAACTTTGGCTTAAGACGAAATTAAATAAATTTGTCATTTAAATACGTTGAAAATATGAGCTATATTAATTCTGTTAATCAATATTTTTCGCAGTGTGGTCATATTGTCGCAAAAATTTTTATTGCATCTAGTAATAGCTTTTCTCTCGATAAAGAATAATATTCGATAAAACCATAAAATCTATTCCAATAATGGAATACTTCCATATAAAAAATAAAAGAGTAATGAATATTATCTTAATTCTTTCAGTTTTTTAAATACACTCAGAAAATTTACTTATGTAATAACAATTATTTTATTTTATTAAATTCAATGTCGAAATTTTTATTACTTCTTTAGTTTTGTTTTATTTGTGAGATTTAGATGTTATATCACTAATAAATATTAAGAATATTTGACGAAAAATGTCTAACATGAAAATTAAATGGAAAATTTAAGAAATTTTGTGAAATTGTCTTTAGAGTTCATGTGGTCTTTAATAAAAGACAGCTGTGAATAACTCTATGTGAATAACAGTTGTTAATATCTCTATATTTTTAATGAATAAAACTGTTATACACCAAAAAGAAAATCACATGATACAAATTTTGACTTACAACATTTTCACTTTGAAATTTTTAAAAATTAATACAGAAAATGTCTACTTTAATACACCATTTAAATAAAGTAAAACATGAAGATAATTAGTTGACCAGAAAGTTTCTCACAGAATTGAACAACAGAAAATGAAAATTTTTAAAAATCTAAAAAATTCTCTTATATTTTTTCTCTCAATTTATTACAATCTTTGATAATATAAGAAGAAACTATTTGACAGCTAACAATTAATGAAAATTAAATAAAATTTTTCCTAAGCATTTGAAAGAATCTTTAATTTTAAAGTCTTAATAATTGTGGTATTCTTGTTTAGTTTCAAAAACAAAAAAAAAAAAATAGTTTTAGTAGTTTTTAAAAAAAAAATTTTTGTGGATTCTTTTTCCCATTTTACAATTTTTTAGTTTCTTGTTTTTTTTTCGTTAAAAAGTTTCTTTTTAGTCTTATTAAACTTTAAAAGTTTTTCTTTTTTAACTGCAGGGAATACAAAAGTTTATTTTATTCATTTTTATTCTCTTTTTTTCATTCATTAAAAAGTAAGGAAAACAAGTAAGATAGTTCTGGTCGTCTTGAGTACCTAACTGGTTGTCTATTTCTTTATACTTTAAATTGACTTTTGTCTTTTGAGAAATAGTTATACAAAAATTTATGTACGTACTCATGTATGTACATAAAAACTTTAATGATTGAAATATTCGGCTATATAAAAACTGTTACAGAACGAATTGCAACGAAGCAAACAAAGTTGATTAAAATTATCAATTTGAGAATTTTCATCTTTAATATGAAATTTGTAAATGTAAACAAAAGAGAAAATTTTATTAAAAAATTAATCAGTAATTAAAATGTTTACCATTTCATTTGTCACAATTGAATGGATGAAAAAAAAAAAATTTGAAAATTGTAAAAAATTATTTGAATTTTGTCAAACATTTTAACATTTTTTTTTTTTGTTTTTGACATAATGTAAATATTATTTGACATTTCCGAATATAAAATTATTAAAATTTGAACTCTCTTTAACGCTCTTTAACAGCTAATATTCTCTTGAATTGAAACTTTTAACAATTTTTCATAATTTTTCTCATTGAAAAAGAATTTCTTTCTTATACTGTTCTGTTTACAATATCAGATAATTTCCGAACGATTCCGAACACTAATATGAATTATTAGATTTTTTTGCATGACATTTCCCAATGAGTTGACATTAATCACAACAGAATATGAGTAGTAGTTACATTTTCGAAGAGATTGTTGTTTTCGTTATTTGACAATACTTTTAATTATATTTTTATAATTCAGATTTAAAAGTTTAAATTTTTTTAATAAGAGCTATATACACTTCATTTTAATGAACATATCATACTTATGGAATGTCATTTAATTGCTCCACCATATCGAGTACAGTTAATTAAAGCATATCAAAAAATATTCAAAACAAAAACATTGTTTACGACTATAGAATTAATAAGCAATAAAATTTAGAAAACTTTAAGCTATATGAATGGTTTCACTTACCTTTTTAATACACGTAAATTACATTAGACAATACTTGCCGCAAAATATAAGTTTAAATTGATGAAGTGATGATGATAAAAATCTGAAATGAAATAAATTCAAAAGAATCAGTAAAGGGTTTACAGATCTATAACAAAAATTTTATAGAATTTTAAATAAAAATTTTAAATTTAAAAATTTTTGTATATCATCACAATGTCAATTATAAAATTTAGTCGCCCTGTTGAATTATGTCTCGGAAACTAACGAAACGGATTCTTCGCTAGTACAATTCACGAGTAAGAACAATTAATACTGTTAAACCATTAAACTGCTTTTAATATTCCTTACCGGCAATATTGTAAGGCTTCGCACCAAACGTAACTTATTTTCGGAAACAATACCGTTTAATTTACTAAAATTGCTTATACTAAAATTTCAATATAAATTTAATAATGCTAACAAGATTAGGGAATATGATCCAAGCATTTTTAAAATTCTTAATAATATATAATATGAATATTTATGTAGATTTATTTCAAATTAAATAAAAATCCATACAAAATTCACAATATTCTTTAACAATTTGAGTAAATTAACACAATAAATTTTTGAAATTGGTTTTTTGCAAAAAAAAAAGCCACAGAAAATATAGGACAATGATCTCTCTTTTTGCAAAATACAAAAAAAATGATTTTCTCTAAAAAAAAAACTCAAAAATCTTGAAAATGTAAAGGAAATCTCTCTCTCTCTCTCTCTAAATTACAGCACCTATAGTCTATAAACAAAACTATATTATATTTGTTCAAATTGTGAAATCCTTTGTAAAATTAAAACATTTACTTTTGAAATGTAAAATAAAAATTAATTAAAGAGTAAAAAAATTGTTTTTTTTTTTTTTTGTAAAGTTTAATTAAAAAAGTGAAAAACAATAACAAGAGAAAATATTCAATAAAAAAATTTCGTTCGGCTTTTTTGAAGTAAAAAGATAAAAACAAAAAACCCAGCAATACAAAAAAACCTCAATTTTAACAATGACAATTTTTTAACACACAAAAACCATTTTCTTGTGTCAACAACAAAAAAAGAGAAAAGTCAAACAAAACAAAAAAGAAAGAGATAAGAGAGATGGGTGGAAGAGAGAAGTGACAAAAAAAAGAGATATAGGGAGTATAATAAATAATCACTTCTGACACTTAATTTTTGTATGCAATTTGTGCAGAAGAAGGCACAAACTTTAATATTTCCTAAAAAGAATAAATAACAGAAAAAAACCGAAGGAAAACCAATCCTTCTTCTTCTCCATTTTCTTTAACAATATTTTTCTTTTTGATTTTCGAGTTTCATCCAAAATAATTTCTTTTTTCTTTTCTTTCTAGTTTTTATGCACAACCAAAAATAGAACAGCAACCGTAGTCCTTCTTTTTTTTTGCTCTTCTCCTATTCTTCGTGTTATAAATTTTTTGGTAACAGCTTGAACGAAAAAGCGAACAAAAAAAAATTTTCTCCTGCAATAAAAAAAAAATTTTTTTTTTATATTCAAGAAAACTTTCTTTTTTGTTTTTAATTTACCATCTGCTTTGAAATACTTTCAAAAAAAAAAAAACTTTAATTTAATTTTAGTATAACTTTAATGCAATATTAAGTTATTAGAATTCGGAAAACTCAAAATAATTATATAGAATTAAAATAAATAAAAAAAAAACTTTTTGTTTAATTTGATTTTTATAATCATAGTATGTAGTCATAAAAAGTTTTTTCTGCCTCCTAGATAACATGATTATATTTTCGATTAATTAAATTTGAAATTTTAAAGATCATTTCAAACACACTGAAATTTTTAGACTTAAACGTAATTTATTATTGAAATATTCACAATTAAATTTAGAGAGAGAGAGAGAGAGGCTTACATCAAACGTCAGTTACTGAGAGATGTCATTTTAAATGAGTGGTTTTTTTTTATACCACAACGCCGTAAGTTTGTTATACAACCAGTGTTCCCACTCAATAAAAAAAAAATGTATCCAATTTCGAGAAAAAAATGTATCCAGCCTCCTAAAGTAGAATTATTATACTAAATCGTTTTATTTTATACCAATAAACTCATAAATAATATTAATTTGCTTTATTCAGAAATGTGAGTTTCGTTATTTATAGTAAATTCTTTTAGAAATCACACGCAATTTCTATTACATTTTAAAATTTAAGGTCAGAAAATATATGTTCTGTATCTGTTGAACTATGCGGTAAAAACGGGCAAATTTTATTTAGTCAGCAAATAATATTTTTTTGGAAGATAAAGCAATTTCGCGATTTAATATTAGTAACACCTTGAAAATTTTGTAACATTTATTTAGTATTCGAGAAAGAAATGTATCCATATTTCAGCAAAATTTTAAAATGTAGCCAATTTCGTCATTTTAGCAGATTTGAGTATCTTTGTATCCAAGCTAAATTTTAAAGCAAAAATGTATCCAAATGGATACAATTGTATCCAAGTGGGAACGCTGTATACAACAATATTACTCTCCCAAATTGAGAAAAAATTGCTTTATCGTGCGAGAGAAATATCATATTATGTTATATTAAATGTTATTTTTATTTGAGAGAAAACCCATATGTTCATATAAGGTGCTCAGTGCATTAGGAGCCTATCCAAAATTTTTCCATAAAGGAGTTATTATGTTCAATAGAGCTGTAATGGCCTAAAGAATTGTTCTGTTTTTTTCAAAATACTTAGTTTACTCCTCTTTTTACTCTATTTTTACATATGTTTGTCTTTACCTTTTAAATATTTAAGATTCAATCTCAATTTACTTGAAATGTCATTCTTGCAAATAGGCCATTAATGTGCTGATCGCGTCATATATGGTTTGTGTCCTAGATAAATATTTCAAATTTTAAATCTGAATAGTACCTCATTTATATGGCAATTTGAATAATTGAATACTTAACTTGAAATAAGCTCGGAACTCAAGATGCAATCTTGTGTTGCAAGCTTGAAAGCTCTAAAATAACGATTAAGTAATGTTTCAAGTCAATTCTTATATTAGTCAATATTTATATAAAATAGGCTTCAAGTACAGCTGCCATATGAACAGGTATTGTTCCCTAAGTGTTAATTTTTGTAAAATAATTTAATATATCACTTTAATCCACCATAATATACCACTTTAACAGTAAAATATTATACGAAATGTATTTTGAATGACATTATTTAACTCGATCTTACTACAACATGACACATCTATTAAATACACCCAAAAAAATACATTAAACAATATAAAAAAAAATTCTTTCAACATAATCTCAAGGGACATAATATCTTCTCAAAATAATAAAATAAAACAAAAAAGCCAAAAGAAATAAAAATCAAATAAAAAGATACAATATTTTTGTTGACATGATTTTTCTTTTTATCTGCCCTCAAATATTTGCAATTAAAATCCCACAATAAAAAAACAAAAACAAAAAAATACTGAAACTCTTATACAATATTTATTTATTTTAAAGGAACCATTTATCATTTATTTTATTCAATATTTATTATAAAACTTATAAAATAAATTAAGCTATAAAATTAACTTTCATCACTTATCGAAAAATTTTCTATACTTTGAAAAAATCTAAAAATTTTACCCATCTAACTACCCACAATATATACTTGTATTTATAAGGTTCATTATACCTATTTCTTCTAATTTCATTTACCTATACACTACATAATATTGTCTTAACCTGTATAAATGTTTAAATGTTCCTGGTATAACAACATTAAATATCGTTAGACTTTTTTAAAGAAAAAAAAATGGTATAATAAAGGTAAAATAATGTAATAAACTTATTTACCTTCTTTTTTATTATTGTAATTTCTTTGAAAATTAAAATAAAAGAGCAAGTTTTTTTTTTCTCTTCTATAAGAAAATAATAAAAATAAACAGAAAAATCAAATGGGAATCCCTTGATATAAATTCGCTTGGATATACCCTTCAGTAAATAAATTCAAAAATAATATTAAATTGCGTGATATCCAAAATGTAGTATGAAAAGTTTAAAGGAAAGAGTTTGACAACCGCACAACAATTATATTTTATCACTTGTAATGTAAGATTTTGTAAACGCGCTGCAACGATGCAGAAATTCGACGACAAATCTCCAAACAGTCATTAAAATTTTGACATTCAAAACGTCAAAATATTTTAAAAATTTTTTGTTTCGTAACGTAGTTAAATTTGAATTGCTTAAAATTCAGCAGCCAAGCATGTTACTTAAAATTCTACTACAAATGTAGCAATATTATTAATAATTAAAGCTGTCAACTCTTTACCGTTAATGTGTTTTTATTAACCAACTTCGCATCTCCGAAAAGTTACGATAATCAACCTTATAACTCAATATGCAGGGTGATCTGAGATTCGTGCTAAGGCTCCCAAGGGTAATTTCTTGAAATTTTTTAAGGTAAAAATTGTTCATTCATTCTCAATTAATTACCGTACATAATGACAGCAATGATTGAATCAGACATACCGTTTTCGAGTAAGGGTAGAAATTTTTTTATATTTTAAAAATGATCACAATTTTTTTTATTTTTTCGTTTCACTATATATCCACAACTTGATCTTACACAATATTCTTGCCTTTCGTACCATTTGTCAGATAACCGACAGCTTTAACACCAGTTCAGGGCCATCCTGTATTTAATAATAAAAAAAAAACCACATAAAAAGTGGAAATATGTAGGCTAAATAAATTTCTTTTTTTTTCTTATTGAAGTTGTACTAGTTGCCTTCGCCCTTCATATACATAAAATGTAATAAACTTTGAATTCAGTTTAGATACAAACCATTTACTTTGTACATTCGCATATAATATGCGTTTAAAATAAAAGAAAAAACCTTGTGTTTACGCAGTTATAGCAAATTTTTTTTTATTATTATTATTGTTATTATTATTTTTATACCGTTAGCTACTTAAAAAAACAACAAAAAAAAATTGAATTGAAGTTTATATAAGACAAGCAATAAAACACCTTTTTGTTCTGCCTTTAAACAAAGAAAAAAACAAAAATAACAAAAAACAAAACCTCATCATCTTTTATGGATG